GTCACCATCATCACCATCGTCACCATCACCACCATCAGCATCACCACCATGGTCACCATCACCACCATCATCATCACCACCACCACCACCATCATCACCATCACCACCATCACCCCCATCACTGCTGTCACCACCATCATCACCATAGTCACCATCACCACCATCACTGCTATCACCACCATTGTAACCATCACCACCATCATCACATTCACCATCGTCCCCAGCATCACCAGCACCATCAACCACCTAACCGTCTGCACCTGGACCATGACTATGGTTCCCGCCTCACCATCTCCATCGTCACCATGACAACCATCGCCATCCCATCACCAGGGTTTCAGTGAACACACTGACCATCACACAGGACGGTCAGGACCGTCTCTCACCTTGACTACCACCTGGCCGGGTGAGCTCAGAGCGGAGCCCACATGGGCCGGTTTTGTAAACAGCTGCCCTCCCTGCGCAGTACACCAGGCTTCTGGCCACCAGGAAGACTCCGACTGCGCTCCTCCTGTCTGCGCCTTTGTGCGGGAGACCCGGGGAGAAAGACTCCAGGGCTGTGCGCCCGCGGTTGAAAGCAGGCCTCTGGAGACAGACTGCTTGGGCTTCATCCAGTCTGCCTCTTCCTAGCTGTGTGACCTCGGGCAAGGCCCCTACCCTCTCTGTGCCTCAGTTTCCCTGTTTATGAAGTGGAGATGATAGCAACATGCTGTCCTGTGAGACAATATATAGCACACAGGGTAGAGCTGATGTCACCCTTCCAGGTTACATGTAGGGAAAACGAGGCCCAAGGGTGGCAGGAACCTACCTAGGGTCACACAGGGTGAAGGGAAGAGATTCAGAGCTCCCTGTGGCTCCCACCCCCACGTCCCGGCTCTCAGCCTCAGCTCCGGGCTCCCAGCACCCCGAGGCCGGGGTGCCGGGCGCACTCACCATGGGGAGCCGTAGATCCGGAAGCCCCGCACGGTGACCTCGGCATCCTGCAGGTAGATGCAGTTGGTCAGCAGCGACTGCACGTTCTCGTAGTTCTCGGGCTTCAGCTTGGACACGGACGGGAAGTAGTAGAAGTCCTGTTTGATGAGGTCGGCCATGAACTCCTGGTCGAAGGTGAGCTCGTGGTTGCCGGCCACCACCACCTTGTACTCGTAGGGCAGGCTGCCTGCGGGGGACACAGCCACACGCTGGAGGCAGGGAGGCTGGGGAGCTGCCAGAGTCCCCACCACGGGTCCCCGACCACGGGTCCCCAAAAGAAGGGCAGTCACCCTGGCGCTGTCCCCAGGGCCCTGCCTGCCAGGCCTCAGCTAGCCGTCAGCTCGAGACCTGGTGAGCGCTGAGCAGCTCCCCCGGCCTCTGAGCGGAGGACGCCTGGCCTCGTCCTGGGGACTGCTCTGCCTCCGTGTCTTGGCTCCCACTGGAAGGCGACGGTACCCTGTGCTCTAGCCCCAGCTGTCACCAGCTTCCCCGTCCCAGGCTCCCACCCCCTGGAGTCTCGGGTCCCGGCCTCCACGTCCCAGCAAGACCAAACCCAGTTCAACCTCCGGACTCGCGCCCAGGGACAGGGACAGGTCCACCTGCCCCCAACAAGCCCTTTGACTCCAGACCAAGACGAAACGTCCCTGAAGACCCCGCTTTCAACTAGCAGCCGAGCTCGCTCTGCCCTGGGCAGAGCCCTGGGCGGCTCTTCAGGGGTGCTTCCCCGTCCTCCTCTGAGGCCCCCAAGGAGGGGAGCGCAGCCTCAGGGTGCCTGGGCCGTGGACAGCCCCCACACCAGGCTGGCCCTGACAGCCCAGCTCCCCCAGGCCCGTAGCCTCGGGAGGCACCCCTGCCCCGCCCACCCGAGCCACCTGCCCCACCTGGGCCCTCACCGCCCCGGCCTCGGCGGCTGGGTTCCCACCCGCGTGGAGGGAGCGGCAGTGGACCTGGGCTTGGATAAAAGTGAAGCGGATGGTGACGCGGAGGTCCAGCTCCTCCCTGCAGCCCCTGGGGTGGGCCAGGAAGGGCGTGAGGACAGGGAGGGCCGGATCCCAGACCATCTCACCCAGAAGTGACCTGCGGTTGGACAGAACACCTGGACGACTCGCACTCTGGTTCTGGTAAGGACACCACGCTTCACTGCCACATTTGGCCCTGTGAGCAAGGCCCTTCTGTCCCCAGAACTTGCCTGGACTATGTATCACTTGTATGCATTGTGAACTATCTGTTGGTGCAGCGACTTGTGGTAGTGTTGGGGTATTTTTGCTGATGGTGTCATCGGTGGTACAATTTTTCCAAAAGGAGCTGTCAATAGGCTTGGTGTATCCTCCTCCCTTCTGCTTGTGATGGTTGTTCAGCTAAAATTTGGAGGCCAACAGAGGTGAGGCAAAGAACCTCACCCCCCCACTGGTACAAAGGCCTATCCACAGGTGCGGCTGTATGCTGGACCGGTAGTCAATGACGAGTAAGATCCAATTGCAATGGTACCAACCTAAGACAGGAGGCTGACGCCTTGAGGTCAGCTCATCCGATGACGGGTAAGGACCATATGTAGTATTGGACAATCTAAGGCAGGCACGGTCCCTAAGCCACATGCTTGTTGTTTAAACAGAGAGGGGGAGATGTTGAGAGCCACAGCCGAAGGGGCCCCAGCAAACTTCCAGCTGCCAGCTGATTGGCTCCTCTGCGGTGATGCTCATTGGGCTGTTTCCCCGCCCTTTCAGACCATGGAGCTGCTCACTGGGGGACTTTTTTGGCTCCGCCCATGCGACCCAGCCAATCGGCCTCAAGAGCAGGAGGAGTGGGGGTTGAGAGGCTTGTGGGAAGCCGGTGGTGACAGTTGGGCTCTGAGGGTTTTCCTGAGGAGCTGTGTGGTGCGGTGTGTGTGTTCTAAAAATAAAGTTCGTTTCTTTTGACGAGTGGCTCCTGTGCCCAGCCAGACTGCGGCATTACTGTCTCCAATGCTTCAGTATCAACAAGAGGCCAGACCTGCCCCAGAAGGTTCCCAGAGTGTACAAACGTGAACCCCACCACATGCCAGGCACTGGCCAGGCTCTGGCTCTTCTCTGCGGTGTGGACAGGAAGCGGAGGTCGAAGGCTGGAGCGGTGGTGGAGGCTCGGAGGCTGGAGCGGTGGTGGAGGCACAGGGAGGAGCCGGCAGCTGCCCTCTGAGGTGCTGCTGAGCACTTCCTCCCGCTCAGCCCATCCTGAGCCCCGAGGGCTGGCTCCCTCCTGGAGGAGCAGGGCCCACTGAATGCTCCGGGGGGGTCCTCGGGCCCCTCAGGAAGGCCACCTGAGCCGCTGCAGAGCCACACTTCACAGCGTGTCCTCTGCGTTCCTGGGCGGCTGTGACCTCCACAAAACCCGCTGATCTGAGTTCAGTCCCGACTCCCTCTCAACTGGGAAGTCACTTAACCTCTCTGAACACGGACTTCCCCTGCCATACGGTGGGTGTGCTGGTGACCCCCCCCCCAGGCTAAGGACCTCCCCTGGCCCCCAGGACCCCCCAGTGCCTCCCCTGAGGCTCCCTTGACTCACCCCTCCCAGGAGCAGCAGGCGGTGACCGGCACCTCAGCTGTCTCCTGGGGGAACCCAGCAGTCCAGGGGCCCTAGAGGCTCTGCTGCCCTTGACCGTGAACACACGGTCACACAGCTCTCTGCCATGTGACCGTCCCTCAAGAACAGATCCCAGGAGCCTCTGCTCTGATTCCTGGGGACGGTCAGTCCTCCTGGAGACTGAGGCCCCGGTCCAGTGCCTGATTCAAAGACGTGCAGTGAGACTTGGTCAGCGTCAGTGTCCTAGGAAGAAGCCCAGGAAGGGCAGGTGAGGCTTCCTGCCTCCCGGGGCCACGGCCACTGCTGGTCTCTACGGCAACAAAACGGAAGAGTCCAGAAGCCAGTTACAAACTTCACACCCGCCCAGTTGGGACCCGACAATCTGTCCAGCCACGTGGCCTAGAGCCAGGGGACTCAGCTGCTGGAGACATCCTGATGCCCAGCTTGGCCCCCGGGTGGGTCAGCTGGTGGGCAGGGGACAAGAGGCAAGCAGCTACAAAACAGGCAGAGGCCACTGAACACTCACTGACCGTCACCCCAGACTTCTCAGCAGACTGATGCTCGTCATCTCTGGGGGCCGAGAGGAGGGGACAGGCCACGGGCTCCTGGGTCCCAGACCCAGCTCTGCCACTGCTGCTTGGCCACCTTGGCCCCGGGCATTGGTTCCTCTGTAACTGGGAGCAGTGATGCCTGCCCACGGGGCACCCCCAGTGATTGAGAAGACGCCGAGTGGAATCGCACACACCTTCATGTTCAGCACGGCCCAACCGTGACGGGGCCAGAAGCCCCGGGCCAGACCTGCCTGGCACACATTCTGTTGGCCACAATGTCCGCTTGGTAACTGAATTTGTCGCCAGCATTAAAACTTTGAGAGATTCCCAATAAAACCTCATTCTGTTTGTCTAAAATCAACTAAATAAAATTCAACATCGGGCGATGCTGGCCATTCAGGGAGTGCCGCATCCGCCACCCCCAGCCTTAGACGGATACAAACATCCAGTTGGCCCCAGTCCCTACCTGTCCCTACTACCCACACTGAGTCTGTTGAACTCACTTCAAGGTGCTGCCCCCCTCCAGTGGGTTTCTGGCCCCTGCCACAGTCCTCGGAGACAGGAGGGGACAGAACTGGCCCAGGGTGCTTCCCAGCAGGAAGGGGGACGGGCCATCCTCACCCCTGCTTGTCAGGGCCACTGTCCTCAGCTGCAGAGTGGACGTAGTAGAACAGCCGGGCAGGTTCTGAGGGGAGGTCTCCGGCCTCCAGCAGGCCGGCTGCCCCACGACAGGCCCCGCTGCCTGAGCCCACACAGACCGTCCCTCCCCTCCAGCGGCCACCTCGTGGAGCTTCACGGTGGTGCTGCTGGTGGCTTCATTCACCAGCTGGGACCTGCTGGGGACAGTGGGTGACGCAGACACACCTGTTCCCATGCCATGGAGCTCTCCTGCTGGGGGTGCAGCCGGCTGCTCAGCACCTGGCCAGGCCCGAGGACAGTGGCCAGAGGCCAGGAAACCCACCCGGGCCCATGGGGTGCAGTGGCGCAGTGTGACACTGGACATGGGTCCAGCTCCGCCACACCCCGGGGTCAGCAACTGAGAGGCCACCAGACCACAGAGTCAGCCTGGGGACACACTGCGGCCAGGAGGCAGGAGCAGCCCCTGGCTGGGGTGGACGGAGTGGCCGCCGCCCACTGCCTCCAGCTGCTCCACCCGTTTCCACCTCACATCACCCATCCAGCCCCCCCAGCCCCACCCCTCGGGGGCCAGAGCCCCACTAATGTACTTATGTCACGTCTCTGACTGGGGGTGTTACTTGAGCAATTAGCAGATTACGCCAACTTACGGCTCCATTTATTCCTGGCTCCTGGGGCTGGGGTGTGCGGGGAGCTGTCAGGTCCCCAGCTCCTCCCGCCTCGGAAGAGGAGAAGGAGGCTTCCCCAACCCACCGAGAGGAGAGGGCGGGGGACAAGGCCAGGCAGGGTGGGGACATGCACCAAGCCAGGCACCAGCAGGAGCTGAGATTTCCTGGGGACAGCATCAAACCCTGCCTGGTCTCTCCAACAAGGTGGACACCAAGGCTTGGAGGCACGGGGACGTCCAACAGGAACATGGAAGCCTCCGGCACCAGCTCCCTGAGCTGAGACTAGCCGCAAGTCCATCTGTCTGGGATTCACTCGAACTTGGTAACTCACCACCTGCACGTGACCTCTGCAGACACTCAAGGATTACTGTCCCCATTTTACACCTTGAGAAAGGTTGCCTAAGGTCACATGGATCAATAACAAAGTGATCGGCAGTCACGAAGGGTGATGGTCACTGGACAGACCCTGTGGCAGCATCTGAGGTGCCCTCTGAACCATCACGCCACCCTGCTTCTCAGTGGATGGAAGGATGGATGGATGGATAGGTGGGTGGCTGGGTGGCTGAGTGGATGACTAGCTGGATGGACGGGTGGGTGGCTAGATGGGTGGGTGGGTGGGTGGAAGAATAGGTGGCTGGATGAGTGGCTGGGTGGCCGGATGGCTTGCCTTTCAGAACTGGCGGACATGGCTGTACACTTGGGTTCCCCATGATGATGCCCGGGTCATCTGCCCAGAGCTTTCCTTTCTTCTCAACCATATTCTTCAAAATCCTGCC